GAATCAAGAATTGGATGTATTTCTAACCCATCATTCAATTACTTGCTTTCTCTGTAATATTCACTTTTTATATTTAATGCCAGTGTTTACCGTCAGTAATTTGCTTAACCCCTAGATTATCCATTCCCCTAGATTATAAAATCCCTGATGGCAGACACTATAATTAATCATCTTTGTTCCTAAAATGATGTTAGTAGATACTTCAAGTGAATTATTTGGTGAATTCTATAGAAATAATTTGCATTCATATGAAATATTTAAGTAGTGTATGCTGGCACAGGTGTGTACCAATTCATGAGAGCAGTTTGTTAAAGTCTGAATAATTTTATAAGACAGTTGACTTCACAGCATTTTAATATTGGACTATGACGATACTATTTACATCACGGAAATTAGCAAAAGCTACCATCAAGGCTCCTCTGAATCCTGGAGAAACAGTTGGCAGATATTTACCAACATACCACTAAATATGACCTGTGTGTATCTATATATTTACTTATATTTGTTGTTTTTTCATTAAATAATTTAGCAATAATAAAATATTTTTGAATAAACTGCCTTGTTTCCTCATTTATATTTCAAGTTATCTGGGCAAAGTGCCAGTTTGGTTTTTGTTTTTGTTTTTTTCTTTATCTTTGCTGGCCTAAGTACCTAGGAACTTATATACTCAATAATTGTGTGTACAGGGATTAATGTCCTAAACAGTCATTGTAAATTTAACAGTGGCCATAGGTGGCCTGGGAGGGATTTGTCAAATGGAATGAAAAATGCAACAAAATCTTTTGATTTGACCTAACTGAGTTTTATATTCACAACTTTTATTATATCGTATTTTCCTTCTAACTTTATATTTATTCTCAAATTATAAATATATCAAAATAGTTGTATTAAAACCAATGGCAAAATCCTAGCTACAAAGTTGCAATTTCGACTTTGTGATAGTTAGACTACAAAGACATAGCTCTACTGTCACACAGCTGCAGCAAAGTTAGCTGGAGTTGTAGAATTCCTTTAAGCTTTTCATTTAAAATTTTTCTCTTAAAAATTCATTAATTTCTAAGAATATTAGTCAGCTAGTTATAGGCTAGTTTATTGCATAGGATGAGATATCCTTGCAGAATTTCAGTATAATACGGAAAATGCTACCTGTGTGATGTATCAAGCAGTATTTATGCTCGTGTTGTTAAGTAAAATTAATTTTGAAGCCAAAAGAATTTGACCCTAAAATTTCACATAAAATGCTTATTAAAAGTTTACATTAAATTATATTTTAAAGGGCAGTATATAAGATCTTGAGAGTAAAGTTTAATAAGTTTGTGCACACTGACAAATTTCTGTAACTATTACAAGATGAGGAAGAGAAATTGCCATCCTGGCAAAAGAAATTTCTCTTCTGCCCCCTCATTGGCAATACTCAGTCTCACAATCATTATTCTGGTTTTATCACCATAGATTAGCATTGTCTATAAAAGTCACATTTTATAATTTATTTTTAATCAGATTCATAGAAACTGTATATTTTATGGGATAATGTGTATGTTTTAGATACCTGTATACATTGTATAATGTTCAAATCAGGTTAAATATATCTTTTCATTTATCATTTCTTTGTGGTATAAACCTTCAAAATCCCTTCTGGCTTTCTTTTTTTTTGAGACAGGGTCTCACTATGTAGTTGAGATTGACCTGGAACTCACTAAATAGCCCAGGTTGGTCTTGAACTCACAGTGATCCTCCTGCCTCAGCCTCCCCCGTGCTGGGATTACAGGCGTGTACCACCACGCCCAGCCTCCTTCTGGCTTTCTTAAATTCACAGTATGTTATTATTATCCATAGTCACTTTACTGTGCAGTAACATAGCAGAACTTCCTACTCTTAATTATAACTTAGTATCCATTGAGCTACCTTTCTCCATTTTCCTCTCTACTTTCCCACCTATACCCATCATTTTACTCTCAATTTCTATGAGATAAATTTAGAGCAGACATATTTTTAATGATGCATTTTTCTTCAATATATACAAAGGAATGATTACTACTTGGCAACTAGTTTGGAACAGATTAATATAAAACATATTAATGAAGCTGAACAGGGTTGTTACTCATAATCCCAGCTCTCGGGCAGGCAGCATGACTGGGGAGATGCTAAGGTGGGAGGATCATAAATTCCAATTCAGCCTGGAAGTTTAGTGACTTAGCAAGACCCTGTCTCAAAAATTTAAAAAATAAATAAAGGGCTGAGGTTGTATTTCAGTGTTAAAGCCCTGGTTCAATACATAGTACTGGGAGGGGGAAAAAAAAAACAGACTGGTGATTATGTATATATTTTAATAAAGAATAAAGAGTGCCTGGCACTTATCATTTGGGTACCTGGCAATACTTTATCAAAGCAATTTTTAAAATACATTCTAATTCTTTAGGAGATGTCAGTAGCTACTAGATTTTATTTACCCTTTGCCTGCAATTCCATTATAAACAGTATCTGTTAGATTTTATCTACCTGTCCTGTATGAGTAGCTTTTTAATCAAAATAAAATTTTAAATATTCTTTCAAGGCATTGGTAACATCAGTAGAGAATCAGAAGTACAGATTATACATAAGAACTTCTTTCAAGAAATTTATAATCTAATAATGGTGGAGCTTATATGTCTTTTATTTTTCACCACTTTATGCTTTATTATGCTTTCCATCTTAATTTGTATGTTTAAACTCAGATATAGTTATAATATGGTTCTTCACAACCACTATTCTGTTGTTAATTCAGGCTAGTTTAAGAAGAAAAGAAAAAGAAAAGATATTTCCTTTGTAGGCCACAAGAATATAGTCACAAATCCAATACTTTTACCCAAAAGGAACTGTGTAGGCCCTGAACTGAGTGTTTCTGGGAAAAACATGAAAGGCATGATTTGAAACGAATAACCTCCTTGAAGTCAGCATTTTTTGAGTACTGCCTTCCTGGTCTGCTCCCTAATCCTGAATGTCATAGTTCCGCCTACACTTGTCAGCTAGGTCCAGGCCTGAACTCAAGCACATCCATATCTTTAGTTAACAGAATAAGACTAACAAAGGAAGAAAATGGAGACTCATCTTATATAAGAAATAAGCTGTTTTCTAAACAGTAACCAAAACATAAAAACTCAAACGTAAGTATGAAGGAATTATAAACATTATAAATGGGGCTATTATATATATATGTGTGTGTGTGTGTGTGTGTGTGTGTGTGTGTATAGTGTATATATATATATATACATATATATATACATCATATATATATATATATATGTATA